ACTAGACTTCTTCCTAATCTGGGCCCAATTCTTTAACCTGGTACAATCCTTGTTAGTTTTAGCAGACATCTTAGGTGAAAACTAGCGGTTTTCACTGTTATCAAGTCACTGGCAGACCCCACTGTCCTGTTTCACCCCTTTTTATAGATTTGGCCCAAGGCAGGAATCTTTTGTCTCTCTGGGTCCCCACCCCTCCTTCTAAATGGAAAAGCACCAGGTTTAAGATGGATTCCAGTATCAGGTGACATATTCACATGTCCTGTGTGACCCCCAGCCTCCATTCTTCCAGGGCTGGCTTGCAGGAACCCAGGAAGGTTGCAGGTAGTTAAACTATCTACAATCAATTGTCCTAGTAAATGAGAGCCATCAAGATTCTAAACCACCATTAATGGCCCACACTTTGCATAATTACAATAAGACCTCAGTGTTATATTTTATATTTCTAGCTTCAGATACAAGAATGTTATATGCATACAAATAGGAGGAATATATTCAGTAGGTTAGAATCCTTGTAACGATACCTTACAAGAGACCTTTTGCATAAAGCATATTCCAGTTACATCATATTTACACTCATAAGCATATTTCCCTAAAACATATGGAGTGCAGTGTCACAGGTACCTTCTCAAGGAGAAAATACCAGGTACTAATGGGCTCTTTAATCTTGCAGAGAAAAGCAGAACAAGAACCAATGGCTGGAAGCTGAAGCCTGACAAATTCAAACTGGAAATAAGGCACACTTTTTTAATAGTGAGGATGATTAACCACTGGAACAAACTACCCCATGAAATGGGGGATTCTCCACTTCTTGATATCTTCAAATCAAGACTGGTTGTCTTTGGGGAAGATATGCATTAGCAAAGCACAAGTCATTGGGCTTGGTTGGGTAACAGCATGAAATGTGATATACAGGAGCTAGGCTAGATTATTCTTATTTATATTACCATAGTGCGTAGTAGTCCTTTGTGGTCTTAAATTATGCATCTGTGAATCCACCAGTGCACCTCCTTAGATACACAGTTGTGAAAGACATGCAGCAAAGTTGTTGCACATCTTAGTAGATTCACAGGAGGACAGCTAAACTTTTGCACAGCTTCCATTCTTCCCTTTCTGTGTATGTTAAGTAGTATGCAGAAGGGAAACCCTTCTGCTCTGAACCTCCTAAAGTCTGAGAAGAGGAGCGTCCATCTTGTGAATACCAAGTGTTTGACAGAGAAAAATTTTGTTATTGGCACTTTTTTTTTTTTTTTTTTTTAAGAGGCAGCCTAGTTAACCTTCAAGGTTTCTAATCTGCTTTTTAAAAAATTGAATGAAGTTCATACTCAAAAAGCTTAACTAACTTAGTTGAAATTGCTACTAGAAATAATATAAAAGCTGTTTATAAAATACAGGGCAAGATCATTTAGTAATTAACAATTAAGTAAACCCTATGCATAAAGAAATAGGAATAGCATGTTACGGTCATCTTCATAAGTATTCTCTTACCTTGCAGGGCATACATTTAGTTAACAATAGTGAAGTGAAAATTCACCATATACATTCCAATATATCTACAATCAGTCAACCACATGCACCCTTATGAACTCTCTGAAAGTATTTCTCATTATATAAACTTTGCCAAATACAGACATATATTAGATAGGCATGTGTTGAAAGGGTTAAAGTTGTAGGAATGTGTACAGTGAATTTTCACAACATTGTTAACTGAATGGATATACTGTCATGGTAATGAAATACATGTGTAAATATAACTGGCCACTTCTATTCCTTTTATGTTCGTTTTTCAACTCTGATGTTCTTGTGTATTATTATAATTACTTATTCTAGGACCCTTCATTGTAAGTAATGTATTTTTGGAAACACATTTTAATAAAGGATACATGTGACTAACTTTGTGTACATTGGGCCTGTAGCATCTGTCATGGGAGCAAGTATGTTGTCTGGACCTGACAGGAGTGAGAGGCTAGTGGAGAGTTAGGTGTTGCTCTTGGCCTTTGTCCTGCTTTCAGTAAACATGGTTTTTCTTGCCAGAAGTCTTTAAAAAAAAAAAAAAAAGACATAATCCCATTTATGAAAGCTACAAGCTGTGTGAGGGGAAAGGAAATATTATGTACTAGCAGAGTGTCAGTTATTCCCTGGGAAAATCAGTTCTATGTTGGGCTATGATAGGAAAGACAGGGAATGGAGGGTAGAATTGCCCCTTCGTATCAGCCTCAAGTGACTGATTTCCCTAGGCTTGGCAGAAGGAGTACCCTGTGACAAACACTTGCTTACATAAAACCCCCCAAATCTCTCCCCAGTGCAAATTAACTCCTTGTTTACCACACTTCTGGGCACACTCAGTATGTTATAACTGCTGATCATATGTGCACCGCAGGCACAGAAGTGCTTAGAGCACATTTAATGCCTCTTCCTCAGAGGCACTTTCTCTCTGCTTCTATGCATTTATTCTGCACGGTATGTTCAGAAGAATAACTGAATGTGCATAAAATATCACACTTTGTACTATATGTGTGGGTTTTTGTTCCCCCTTCCCCTGCTTACAAATTATAGTAGTGTTTCATTATGTCCTTCTATTTAATCTGTCCAGCAGTGGCTGAATTTGGTGCTCCTGTGTCCAGAGCTCTGCTGGTAGAGGAGATAAATGGTACATAGCTGATATCATGGGAGTAGGGATGCAACACAGGACAAAGCCTGAGGTCTTGTTTTTCACCATAGCACCTGATATGACAAAGGGGCTAATACAAAAACTTGTTAATGTGCATTCATCCCATAGAAGATGAAATGGCTGAATTAGAAAGGTTTGATATCCAGCTACGTATAATTATATTCTTTGAAAAGAACCTTTAGTGAGTCATCTAGTCTGTTTCCCTGCATCATGGCAAAATTGGTTTTATTATCTTATCTGATTTCAGCTTTCAGAGCCATTAGCAATGTAGCCCTTTGTTAATTGCTGATGGTCATACATATAGTACCGTAGATAGTGTGATGGGTGCTTGGAGGGCCAGGTGGTGGAGCAGTTAGCACACCTGACTTCCAGCCCCTTGCTCTCTGTTAGGGTACGTCTTCACTACCTGCCGTATCGGCAGGTAGCAATCTATTTATCCGGGATCGATATATTGCGTCTCGTTAAGACGCGCTATATCGATCCCCAAATGCTCTCTCCGTCGACTCCGGAACTCCACCAGAGCGAGTGGCGGTAGTGCAGTTGACAGGGGAGCTGCTGCCGTCGATCCCGCGCCGTGTGGACCCCAGGTAATTTGATCTTAGATATTTCGACTTCAGCTACGCTATTCGCGTAGCTGAAGTTGCGTATCTTAGATCCGCCCCCCCCCCGCCCCGCCCCGCCCAGTGTAGACCAGCCCTTAGGGTAGTAGAGGTGGCTGTTCCTGACACTAAGCCAGGAATCTTCAGCTCTCCACCTGAACCTGGGCCTTGTCCCTTAAGGGGGTATGGTAGGAAGACCCGGGCCCTCCCGCTCCACGTCCCTGTGGGAAGCAACACCTATATCAGTTATTGGGAGTGGACCACATCCACCCTGACTGAATTGGCCTTGTCAACACTGGTTCTCCACTTGTAAGGTAACTCCCTTCTCTTCATTCTCCAGTATATTTATGCCTGTATCTGTAATTTTCACTCCATGCATCTGAAGAATTTTTTACCCACGAAAGCTTATGCCCAAATAAATCTGTTAGTCTTTAAAGTGCCACCAGACTCCTTGTTGTTTTTGTGGATACAGACTAACACGGCTACCCCTCCGATACTTAACACCAGCCGGGTCCTCCCAGCAGCCAGTATAAGTCCGCTGCCCCGGGCTACTTCCCATTTATATGTCCCTTCAGTTTGGAGCCTGGCTACATGGGTGAAAGACAGGTTGGAGTTGAGATTATTATTAATCTTGTTTATCACAGTAGTGCTTAGGGACACACTGCTCTTTCTCATAGAATATCAGGGTTGGAAGGGACCTCAGGAGATCATCTAGTCCAACCCCCTGCTCAAAGCAGGACCAATCCCCAGACAGATTTTTGCACCAGATCCCTAAATGGTCCCCTCAAGGATTGAACTCACAACCCTGGGTTTAGCAGGCCAATGCTCAAACCACTGAGCTATCCTTCTCCCCTCAAAAAAACAAAAACTAGTTGTGTTAGAACAGGGCCCACTTGTGCTAGGCACTGTACAGATAGTAGCAGACACTTCCTGCCCCAGAGCGCTGACACCCCAAAGAGACACTCCAGGCAGAATGTACAAAGTGATTGCTGCAGATGTCATGAGAGTTACACAATTTTTTTTATTTTTGCGGGTGGGGTTTTTGATGGGAAAAGATTGTCTAAATGGAAAGACCAAGGAAGGGGAAGAGACATTGAAGGTCGGGGGGCATGTGTGCAGTGAGGCTGAGATGAGACTGTGAACGAGGGCTTGCAGCAAATAGGCAAACAGGGACGGGGGGGGGGGGGAAGAGAGCCCCATCAAAACTGTCCAAAATATTGATGTAATTACCAGCATCCACAGGTCCCTGTTTAAGCTGGTCTTGCTGGCTTCAGTCTCTGGCGGTCTTCTCCCTTCGGTTTCTTTACCCAAGCGCATGTGGTTGGGGGGAGAAATATTGCATGTGCTTCCAGAGGGTCCCCAGGTTGCAGTCCTGATTGACAGGATCAATGGCAGCATTGTCAATGGTACAGACTGAGCAGGGGGAGTGAGGAGGACTTGGGAGGAAAGTTCAGGAGTTCCATCTTGGTTTAAGTTGATGAAGAGACCAGAGGGGGAAGCTGAGGTGTGAAACTGGACGGAAGGAGGCTGCTCAAGAGTGGAGAGGTTGATCTGTGAGTCATCAGCATACAGGTGGTAAGCATGAGTCAATGAGATCACCTGGAAAGAGGGGAGGAGAAGGGGGGCCCTATGGGACTTCACAGAGAAGGGGAGAGGAGGAAGAGGCCAGATGTGAACGCCTCAGATTTTTGGTGTGGGTAAGTATCAGTTGATGGTTCTCTGATTTATTTTAGCTCTGCAGTTGTTCGGGCTTTAGAGCAAGGAGTGAAGAAAGCAGATGTAGATCCTGCTGTGAAAGCTGTTGTGATTTGTGGGACAAATGGGACATTCAGTGCAGGTAAGATTCTCTCTTTATTTAGTATACACACACATATTGAGTCAATAATTATTCCAGCCTCCCATGGGAATTTTCCCACAGTAATTACAAGTATCATAGTGAACAATTCTGTGATCCTTCAGAGTAGCAGCACGATCTGTAGTCTTACTATGCTTACGTTATTCTAGCAGTAACAGTCAACAATGACCAGATGTGTCTTTAATGTAGTGTTTTTCATAGATAGACCAAATTAGGCTACTGAGGATTCTTTTTACATCTTCACATGTAGTCAACCCTCCCACTGTGTAACATTAAATATAGGATTTGTTTACATTATTGTTTACAAACATGGGCTAGAAAAAGAGGTTATATATAAACCAGAAACATTGACTCCAATGTCTGAAAAATACGCAATATTTAAATACAAAGAAAAAATATCTCTTCAGTCCTTCATCACTTATAGATAGGTGTCTCTAGGAACCAGGACCTTGCAATAGTTACGTAGTCTTCAGATCTTCTCCAAAGTGTTTTCATCCCATTGGGGCTCTACAGACATTAGGTGGTACTCAGATCTTTACATGTACTTTCTACCCGCTTAGATCAGCCTCCAACTAAACTAAGAGTTCATTCTCCTCATTCGGTGCTTCCCCAATCTAGAATTCCAGCATCCAAAATTCCCAGCATGGTATTTCCTGTTTTATATTCAATTTCCATGTGTGTTAGGAAGTTTCCCCCTGAAGCTTCGGCCCAGCCTGGATTTTCTGTCCTGTGGAGTGGGACTGGATGGCAGGGGAATTGGGAAGGGCAGGTGGGATCCCTCACCCTTTGCCTAGAGCAGCGATACTCAGACTGAGGCTCGAGAGCCGCAAGTGTTTCTTTAATGTGTCTCCTGCAGCTCTTTGCAGCACATGGTATTGAAACATGGTGTGATTTAATTAAATTATTAACCAATCTAAGTGATTAACCAGTCAGGATGCTTTTACTATGTTATTGTCCAATTGCAATTGATAAAATAATAATACTTGGTCAGTACTTTTGCTGTGAGAAATATATAAATATATAAACATTTCCCCGTCATACTGTTTGAATATGAATATACAGTACTATAGTAAATGAAACCATGAACTCATATTATTGTGGCTCTTTTGGGTAATGTTAATTACTAATTTGGCTTCTGAACCACTGAGGTCTGAGTATCACTAGCCTAGAGAGTCTCTTGCTGCCCCCTAGAGAGCATCTCACACACTGCCCATAGGTGGAGGCTCTGCTGAGGCAGACAGTGGCCTGTGATTGCGGTGGTAACTCTCATCATGATTTGAGATCAATTCGGGGAGGCACTCCCTGCAGGGAGCTAATTAAGTGTAGCCCCATCAAGATAAATCTGCAAAGAGAAACTATTGACTTATATCGTAGTGTTGCCACCTGCCCTGAAATGGAAAGGGCTGTTTTACAGAGCTGCAAATCAAGACTGTGCAAGTTCTGACTTTCACTGGCATTGAGAGCCCTGGTGGTCCCAGGAATTGGGCTGAGGACGGATCCAGGGCCAGAACTGAGAGCTGCTGTATGCCGAAGGTGGGGTGTGGCAGGACAGCCTTATCTTCTCAGAGCTGCCATGTTATTTTATGCCACGTGGCTTTATGTCTGCGTACGGACCTGTCGCTACCCCCGAAACTCTCAGACTCTGGTAGAGGTGTCTTGTGATGGCAGCTGCTGCAGTAGGGGTCTCTCCCCAGCTGAGCCACCACTGAGTCTCCCCAACAGATGGGGAAGGAGCAGACCTGTGGGGAGCGAGAACCCAGTGGGGAACTAAGTGGCTGGCTCCCTTACATGTTCGCTTCCAGAGTGTGTAACCTGTGGGATGTTCATGGAGAGGGTAATATTGCTCTTCAGCTGTGAGCTGGACTGCATACTGTCACCCTGACCTCTTCTTTAACCAAACATTTTTGGGAATTTCAGAGCTAACTCCACATTGATGATGATTATTACACTAGCCTTGGAGTTAGTTGTGCCTTATCTATCCCTAAGGTTTTATGACTAGGCCCAGAGAGAAGGTTGAGATCAGTGTTCTCCCCAAGGGGTCCTCTGTGCTCGTGAGTGGGTTTGATTATCTTTACTGCTTTCTTCACCACATCCAACCTACTCCACACATCTGTGCATTGTGGCTGCTGTCCTTAAGTTCAGAATTGAATAGGAGCCCATAGTCTGTCAGCATTAATGCTTAATTGTCTGGAACGAAGGGTGTGCTAAGCAATGACAAGCACTCCCTGCCCTGCCAATGTTTCATGGTCTTGTTAAGCTCCTCTGTGTTTCCTCAGGTGGTGACATTCGAGGGTTTTCCTCCGTTCAGGCAGGAGACAGGCCCAGTCTGACATCAGTAATTAATCTAATAGAAAGAAGTGAAAAGCCTGTGGTGGCTGCCATTGAAGGTATGGCATTGGGAGGAGGACTGGAGGTGGCACTGGGCTGTCACTACAGGATTGCACATGCGCAGGTAACATGCTCTTAACCATCGAGAGTCCAACAAAGGGCAACAAATGTATTAGAAGGGTATGTCCTCCTACACAAGGTCCTACACAGCGTAAAGTGCTTAGAGCTGCTCTGAATGCAAGGGAAAATGGGAGGATCTGGACAGGGAGCCCAGGGGAACCTGAGGCTGAATTAATAAGAGTGCTGCTGCATGACCTTCCTGGGAGCAGAAGAAAGGCTAGAGGGAAGAGCTCATAACTAAATGCCTCATTTGTATGCTGTGGATCCCACTTAACAGCTTCACCCCCAGCTCCTCCCATTCTCTACACTGCCCTTGGGAGTAAGGGAGCAGGTGCACAGGAAGAGTGAGACTTAGGCCTGCTCTGCACTACAAAGTTAAGTCAACTTAAGTCACCTTGTGTCAACCGATTTGTGCATGTCTACACTCAAATTTGTCTCCAGCCAACGTAAGCATCCTGTTATGATGACGCAGTAAAACCACCTCCCTGAATGGCATAGACCACAGTCAACTTACTGAGGTGGATGCAGTGCGAGTGTAGACACTGCATGACATGGGTCCATCCTAACAATCCTCCAGCAGCTGTCCCATTATGCCCCATTCCTTGCAACAGTGTCTGCTCTGGTCACAATTGCAAACTCCACTGCCCAGGTGTCACAGAGACCAGAAGCCACCCCAGCCCTTATAAAGCTACCCACATATATCTGAAATGCCTTTTCCTGATTGCCCACCTCATGAGCACACCTAATAGCTCTCTCTTGTTTTGTGCAACTGCCCAACCAACCATGCCGGCTGCACATTCTAGACCTGCTCCTGCCTGGAGCAGACAGGAGATATTGGATCTCCTGGGACTGTGGGGAGAAGAGGCTGTGCAAGCACAGCTATGGAGCAGCTGTAGAACCGTGGACATCTGCAAAAATATTTGCACTGGGAATGCAGGCAAAGGGGTACAACAGGGATCAGCAGCAGTGCTAAAGCGAAGGAATTGCACCAGATATACACAGAGCCAAGGAGACCAACTATCAATCTCGTGCTGTGCTGCAAACCTGCCACTCTTACAACTGGCTGCATGCCATACTTGGTAGAGATCCCAACAGCATCCCACAGACTGCCATGGATACCTTGGAGGAGCCCGAACAATGAGGAGCTGGTGGAGGCAGAGGAGTTGCAGGGAACGGGGGAGATGCAGTGGAAGGATCCAGCCATGCCATGAGCCAGGACCTGTTCAGGACTCCACCGCAGTCTAGCCAGTACCACCAGCTGAGCATGGACAAGCCCAATGAAGGGGAAGGAACCTCTGGTAAGTGTGTGTATGCATTATTTCTTACAGTGTTTAAATCTAAAGATGGCGCCCAGCCCATACCCAAGTTCACAAGACACGAGTATCAACTTTTCAATTTTACATGTACAAGAAGAGGTAGAGGTACAAGAAACAGAGGCTGAGTTGGTATTTGCTTTCATTCCCCTGTTGGGTTAGGCGGGAGGCATCATGCGGAGCAGTTTGTTTATGTACGCTGCATCCTCCTAGGAAATCTTGATAAAACTTTCATAGAGATACTCTGTGATCCTCTCCCAAAGGTTTCTAGGGATGGCTGCCCTATTTCTTCCTCAGTGGTGGGACACTCTCCCATGCCACTCTGTTATGAGTTTGGCTGGCACCACTGCAGTAAACAGGCTAGTGGCATCCAGACCTGGGCAGCTTTGAAACACAAGTAGCAGCTGTGTTCCCTGTGCCTTTGTGACCCTCAGGAGAGAGATATCAGCTAAAACCACCACTACCGGTGAAAAATACTCCTAATACTCAGTATCATTGCCCTGTGCTTGTACCCACTGAAATAGGCACCAACATTTTATTGTTTCATGAAACCAAAATTCCTTCAACCCCTCTCCCCTCACCACTGGTGGGCATACCCACTATGGCTGAGGCTGGAGAGCGGTGCTGTGCACAGGTGCTCCAAAGCTGATGTGTCAATAAGTATGTCTTTTTAAAAGTTTTTATGGGAATTAGTTTCAACCCCCCCATCCTTATCTTCCCCTTTCTCTTGTGACTGTAATTCCAATGACACATCTGTGTTTTTATTAGCAGCTGCTGCCATTGCAACCTTTGCCCCCTCCACACCATGAGAACGCCTGACCTTGAGGAGGAGAAGGAAGAGGACAAGGCAGGACATGTTGCACGTCCCAAATGCTGCAGCCCTTAGTTGACCTACAGGTCCAAAAGGCCTGGACTCCCCACCCTTTGCAGTCCTTAGAGAACTCAATGCTAGCAGCTCCCTACACCCCCAACATACCATGTGGCATCACAGACTGCATCCCTGCCCCTACCACTTCTCATCTAGGGACAGCCGGAAAACCACAGCTTCACATCCCCTGGCCTGTGAGAACCACAGTTGGTATATGTGTAGCCACAAGGAACTACATTTGTGCACTGAAATGGACAGGTATGTTTGCTGCTTTTCCAATTTTAAAGTTCCATGCTGTTAGTCTGTGTTTAAAGTTTGTATTGCATTGCCTGTTGTGTTTTGCTCATTGTCTTTCTGCACTGTTTTTGCCACTCAATAAATTTCTATATTTTTTTAAACAAAACTATCTTTATCTGTTCACAACACATATTGCAGAATGTGAAATGGTACTCAAAGCATACTGTACTTGTAAATGTACAGCACCACAGAACTCCCGATTTCAGTAAAACACACAGTAATAGTTATAAATGCACAGCAAGCACTAGACATTTCTTAGTAGCATCCAAAGCTCCAGGCCCAGAGATCGCGCAAGCACAGAACACTACTGTGAGTGACCATTAAAGTGCTCTTTCAAAACCTTCCTCAACCATATAGCTCCACATTGAGCTCTTGTAATGGCCCTTGTGTCTGACTGTTCAAAGTCTGCTCACAGCTGCTCCACCTCCACCCTGGCAGCAGCTTTTCCCCTTTTGGCTCACAGATATTATGCAGGACATCAGAGGCCGCTATGTGAGTAAACACTGTCAGCATCCCTTCAGTCTACCAAAAGCACATGCAACTGTTGTTCTGCACCTGCTGAGCTGATAGTTGAATCTTTCCTTGGTGCTGTCGAGGTAGCAGGTGTCTGGCTTCAAGAGCTAGAGAAGCAAGAAGTAGGCTGGGTCTCCCAGAATCACTATTGGTATTTCAACATCACCAATGGTAATTCGCTGGTCAGGAAAGAATGTCCCTGCTTGCAGTTTTCTGAACCATCCTGTGCGCTTAACGATGCGAGTATCATACATCTTCTCTGACAAGCCCACACTGATATCAGTGAAGCATCCCCAATGATCCACCAATGCTTACATAACCATAGAAAAGTAGCCCCTTCTGTTGATATATTCTGTATTAAGGTGGGCTGGTGCCAAAATAGCGATGTGTTCCATCTATCATACCACTGCAGTTCAGCAACCCCAAACCTGCAAATCCATCCACGATGTTCTGCGCACGTTGCCCAGAGTCACAGTTCTGCGTAGCAGGAAATGGTTAATGGCCCTACACACTTGCATGACAATGGCCTCTGCTGTAGATTTTCCAACTCCAAAATGATTTCCCACTGACCAGTAGCAATCCAGCATTGTAAGCTTCCATAGTGTGATTGCCACTCGTTTCTCAACTGTCAGTGCAGCTCTCATTCTGGTGTCCATGCACTGGAGGGCTGCGGCGAGCTCAGCACACAAATCCAGAAATGTGGCCTTTCACAATAGAAAGTTCTGCAGCCACTGCACATCATCCCAAACCTGCATTATGATGCAATCTCACCAGCCAGTGCTTGTTTCTCAGGCCGAGAAGCAGCACTCCACCATCTGCAACTGCTCCATGAACACCACCAAAAGCCTTGAATTGTTTCACTGTGTCCCTCAGCAAATTGTCCTCCAAGAAATTGCCGTGTCTCCCATTGTTGCAGTACTTCCTGTGGATTTGCAAATACACGAGAATTGTGTGTCCTGTATTTGCAGTGCTTATGAGAATAGCACAGAGGTCTGCAGGCTCCAGGCTTCTGTCAGAGATGGCAGACAGCGAAAAGGGTTTATGGAAATAAAAAGAGCACAATCATTTTAGGATATGGATGGCATTATGGGATGGAGAACGGTGCATGCTGAGAACTTGACTCCTAATTCCTAGAGATCCCTAGGTGAGTCATTTCTATCCCACAACACATTGCAAGAAGTTCCCAAAAGGCACTGCACTGGAGGATGGCATGTGGCACACTGGGATACCTACCCATGATGGAGCCATGCCTCATCCCATACACAATCTCACAGATCATATTCTACATGTACCTACACATTAAAAACAAAACGCCACTCAAATTTTTCATGCATACATGTAGAAAACCAATGGAATATTGAAAGCCTGAATTTCCATTCAGCTGATGAATGTATGAGTGCCAATAGTGCCCAGCAAAAAAACAGCACTTTTAAACCTGCATAATTCATCAAATCATCACAGGTGTTCACCAAATTACTGAAGGCAGATCTGTGACCTAAGTGTATATCCCTACCAAATTTCAATTTCTACCACTCTGTTGTGGCATTAGAGTTCTTTTGAAAGTTTACAAATATAGGCAGAGTAGGTGGCCACACCCCTAGTTAATATTACCAAATACTTTCCATTATAATCACCTAATTTCAGTTGCTTATAATTTGCTAAACTTTAATCATGTGAATGGTGGTTTGGTTTTTTTTAAGTTTCAACAAAAATGGTCCAGCTGTTCTCAAGAATTAGATTGGGGGGAAATAGGCAGTTTTGCCAATGTTGAACTTTATTTTAATGATTTCTTTGAAAGAGCTCTAATGTGTCCCTACTTTTGAAGCAGAAACCTGAGACTTAGCAGGTGATGTTTTTGGAGTCAGGGAGGTATCTTTTACTTTTCCCATTAATATGTATCCAGATTTAGCAGAGTTATAAACTGCAGAAAAACACAATTTGCACCTTTCTGGGGCTCCGCAGAGCAGTTTGCTAGAATGAATGGGATGTGACTGTGGTTCTGCTGTGCTTGCATCTTCTGTATATAGTATATAATTATTGTTTTCTTTAATTAGACCCTCTGTTTACCTTCACTCGGCTCTAGGCCTGGGTAGGTCTTCCAGAGGTCACCCTTGGGCTACTTCCAGGTGCTGGAGGAACCCAGAGACTCCCCAGACTGATTGGGGTCCCAGCCGCACTTGACCTAATCACGACAGGTAAATTTCTTTGGATTTGTTTAGAATAGGATGGAAAGATGTGACACGGGATCATTTTAGCTAGCTCAATCTACTGAACATCTTCAAAAACTCTAGTCAGACAATGCAAATTGTATTTTAACACATGCTAATCTGGTTGAATCAAAACAACTTGCCTTGTCTTAACTCGAGTTTTTGAAGATGTTAGACTGAGCTAGCTAACACAGTCTAACCTTTAAATTCTGGTTTAGACAAAGCCAGAATGTTAGAATAGCAGCAAAGAGTCCTGTGGCATCTTATAGACTAACAGACGTATTGGAGCATGAGCTTTCGTGGGTGAATACCCACTTCATCGGATGCATGCAATGTTAGAATAGACTCTGTATATATGTGTGAATGCACAATACCCACCTGGGGAAATGAGGAAACAGATTGACAGAGCAAGACGGGTACCCAGAAATCACCTACTACAGGACAGGCCCAACAAGGACAATAACAAAACACCACTGGCCATCACATACAGCCCCCAGCTAAAACCTCTCCAGCGCATTATCCACGATCTACAACCTATCCTGGAAAATGATCCCTCACTCTCACAGACCTTGGGAGGCAGGCCAGTCCTCGCTTACAGACAACCCCCCAACCTGAAGCAAATACTCACCAACAACCACACACCACACCACAGAAACACCAACCCAGGAACCAATCCCTGTAGCAAACCTCATTGCCTACTCTGTCCCCATATCTACTCTGGCGACACCATCAGAGGACCCAACCACATCAGCCACACCATCAAGGGCTCATTCACCTGCACATCTACTAATGTTATATATAGCATCATGTGCCAGCAATGCCCCTCTGCCATGTACATTGGCCAAACCGGACAGTCCCTCCGCAAAAGAATAAATGGACACAAATCGGACATCAGGAATGGTAACATAGAAAAGCCAGTAAGTGAACACTTCAATCTCCTTGGTCATTCTATTACAGATTTAAAAGTCACTATCATTGAACAAAAAAACTTCAGAAACAGACTTCAAAGAGAAACAGCAGAACTAAAATTCATTTGCAAATTTAACACCATTAATCTGGGCTTGAATAGGGACTGGAAGTGGCTGGCTCATTACAGAAGCAGCTTTTCCTCTCCTGGAATTGACACCTCCTCATCTATTATTGGGAGTGGACTACATCTACCCTGATTGAATTGGCCCTGTCAACACTGGTTCTCCACTTGCGAAGTAACTCCCTGCTCTCCATGTGTCAGTATATAATGCCTGCATCTGTAACTTTCACTCTATGCATCTGAAGAAGTGAGGTTTTTACCCACAAAAGCTTATGGCCAAATAAATCTGTTAGTCTTTAAGGTGCCACCAGACTCCTTGTTGTTTTTGACGTGTGCAGACACTCCCAAGGCATACTTATGTGTGACACTATATGGTACATTCATGTGTGCATGCATTCATACATATGCATCTCTTGCAGAATGGAATTAGCTGTGGTCTAACTGGGGGACAAAAGGAATGGCTTTGTAATATCTATCTAGATATTTTATTACCATTTTTTCTTGAAAGAAGGAGTTGCCATTTTGTCTGTACACACTAGATGACTGAAACCTTTATGTAATAAAACAGTGGGACATTTTAAATGAAAAGGGGTTTTGCTCCTCAGTACCCTGCTGTGCTGAGAGAGCACAACTGGGGAAATATAAGGTGTATAATCAGCTTCAAAGTTAATTAGAACAGGAGAAAACTGACAGAACAGGATGTACCCAGCCTTCAGTTTTTACTGCTAGCTCCCCTTTGTTTTTTCCCATTCTGTGTTATCTCAGCACACCTGCTTTTGCCATTTCAAAGCAAAGCCAATTAATGATTTAGTTCGCAGTGCATGCTCCTGTCTGGTGTGACTAATGCATCCCAACTGGGAACATATCTCAGGCCAGCCAAATACAGAAGTTTTATCAAATGGAATGAAATGAAATCTCTGACAGCAGGAAGCTGAAGCCACCTTATTTCTTCATTACAGGGAAACATGTGCTCGCTGCTGAAGCGCTGAAGCTGGGCATCATTGACGAAATCGTGGAAGAAAACACAATTGATGCAGCAATCCACTTGGCAAACAAAGTGTCAGGTAAGGGAGGAAGTGTAATAATGACAAGGACCCCATTGGTGAGGAGCAGCTCAGCCTAGTCAGGTTAGAGGGCTAGAAGGAGAACACCTGGTGCTAACTGGAAGAAGGCTTGCTGTGAAAAGAGCACCCTTGCTCTTTTCCAAACACCGTTTCAATCTCCTGCCTCTTTGCTGGGTTTTGAATTCCACAGAAAACAAGCTTTAAACAGAGAGCAATTATTTTCCTGAAGTATGTCTGAAAAACTCAAAAATACTGGTGAGCATCAAAGCGCTCAACAAATTCAGATGAGGCAGAGAGATGGAGACAAATACAGTTAAAGCAACAAAGATTCCCTATGGCTCATGTATGCTAAACATACACCCTTCCATACCCCCGAGGAACAGCACTGCTTCCTCCCAAGGTGGTTTTCTGGGTTGATAAGAGGACTAAGCATACTTTCCATATAAAATACATCCTTGGACAGCCAGGCTTGTTGGTGCTGTGCACAGCTCGGCTGCACAATCAATACTGGCTGCACTAAAAGAACTCTTGATAATGGCAAATCCCCAGCCAGGCATAATGACCCAATAAATCTGTCTCTAAATGCCCATTTCTCCATTTCTTTAGCCATAAGCTGTTGTTATTTTGCCATTGTCTGAGAAGAGACTGAGCTGTGGAGAGGGGAAATACACCAGAAATGGCAATCTTATAAAGAAGTCATTTAGAACCTAAAGGTCACTAAGCCAAATTCCAGAAATGTTTTCACCACTGTTCTGCTTTGGTGCCTCTTCTGGGGAGAGCGTCCAAGTGAAAATGAGATAGGATCAGAAGAGACTAAAATGGGGAAAGAGCAAGTTAAAAAATTACTTAGACAAATTAGATGTCTTCACTCACCAGGACCTGATGAAATGCATCCAAGGAGCTGACTGAGGAGATATCTGAGCCATTAGTGATTCTCTTTGAAAAGTTATGGAAGACGGGAAACATTCCAGAAGACTGGAAAAGGGCAAATATAGTGCCAATCTATAAAAAGGAAAATAAGGACAACCCAGGGAATTACAGACCAGTCAGCTTAACTTCTGTACCCAGAAAGATAATAGAGCAAATAATTAAGCAATCACTTTGCAAACATCTAGAAGATAATAAGGTGATAAGTAACAGTCAGCATGAATTTGTCACCATTTGAACAAATCGTGTCAACCCAATCTGTTAGCTTTCTTTGACAGGGTAACAAGTCTTGTGGATAGGGAGGAAGCAATAGACGTGGTATATCTTGACTTTAGTAAAGCTTTTGATACTGTCTCACACAACCTTCTTATAAACAAACTAGAGAAATGCAACCTAGATAGAGCTACTATAAGGTGGGTGCAAAACTGGTTGGAAAACCGTTCCCAGAGAGTAGTTATCAGTGGTTCACAGTCATGCTGGAAGGACATAACAAATGGGGTCCTGCAGGGATCAGTTCTGGGTCTAGTTCTGTTCAATACCTTCATCAATGATTTAGATAATGGCATAGACAGTACACTGGTTAAGTTTGTGGATGATACCGAGGTGGGAGGAGTTGCAAGTGCTTTGGAGGATAGGATTAAAATTCAAAATGATCTGGACAAACTGGAGAAATAGTCTGAAGTAAATAGGATGAAATTCAATAAGGACAAATTACTCCATTTAGGAAGGAACAATCAGTTGCAGACATACAAAATGGGAAATGACTGCCTAGGAAGGAGTACTGCAGAAAGGGATCTGGGGCTCATAGTGGACCACAAGCTAAATATGAGTCAACAGTGTAATGCTGTTGCAAAAAAAGCAAACATCATTCTGGGATGTATTAGCAGGAGTGTTGTAAGCAAGACACGAGAAGTAATTCTTCTACTCTACTCTGCGCTGATTAGGCCTCAACTGGAGTATTGTCCATCTCTGGGCACCACATTTCAGGAAGGATGTGGACAAATTGGAGAAAGTCCAGAGAAGAGCAACAAAAATGATTAAAGGTCTAGAAAACATGACCTATGAGGGAAGATTGAAAAAATTGGGTTTGTTTAGTCTGGAAAAGAGAAGACTGAGAGGGGACATGATAACAGTTTTCAAGTATGTAAAAGGTTGTTACAAGGAGGAGGGAGAATACTGTATTGTTTTTCTTAACCTCTGAGGATAGGACAAGAAGCAATGGGCTTAAATTGCAGCAAGGGAGGTTTAGGTTGGACATTAGGAAAAACTTTGGAATAAATTGCCTAGGGAGGTTGTGACATCTCCATCATTGGAGATTTTTAAGAGCAGGTTAGACAAACACCTGTCAGGAATGGTTTTAGATAATACTTAGTCCTGCCATGAGTGCAGGGGACTGGACTAGATGACCTCTCACAGTCCCTTCCAGTCCTATGATTCTGTGAACTCCACTGGAGCTTTGCACATGAGAGCCAAGCTGGGAAGCACTGAGTCAGCACGCTCCTTGACTGTCCTGGCCACATGCCTTTTTCTGTCAACACCCCACCTTCTTCTGGAATGGTGTTTGTCCACTTCCACCTAATCCCAGCTCAAAGAAGGTTGCAGGCGCTTTGCCCTGCCGCAGCCTCTTTCCTAGTGGACCTTCGGGTCTTGTGCCAAGAGCTATGCCAACAAAAGCTAGCTTAGTCCAAAGGGTGAATGTAGAATTCTAGATGACTGTATGCACCATTTTTAACACTATTTAATTTATGGGTTCTTGCTCAAGATCAATGTTTTGTAGCATTCTCACCTACATTTTGTCCAAGAGCTCTCTGGCAGAAGTGGTCTCCTGCAATAGATACTTTTCCCTCTCACTGTGTTCAGGTTATTTTTAAGTTTTTCAATTTTTATCTTTAGGAACAATCAATCATTTCCATAAGCAGTCCTCCTTCCTCTCTCTTTTTTTGTTTAGACAACCAAGTTCTTTGGAAATATAAAGTTCTTAGAGATATGTGTTAATATACTTTGCTGTTGGTTCTAAGCAAGGCAAAGAAACTTCTGCTCATCAACCCCACCTGCCTGTTTTAGATGAAAGTTCCATGTTTGTCCCTCCTCTATCTTTTGGAGAAGTTATCACCCTTCTCAGCAATGTCTTTCCAAGAAGCAATGGATTCACTCTGAAGTATGCTCCAGGTTGATGACCCTGTGTAGGGTCCATACCAGTGTTTATAGCAGAGATCTGTAACTTTGGTAGACACATTGCTAGATACTCTGGTTTTCAGCTTAATATTATTTGAAATCAGATAAAACCCCCAGACATTTGAATGCTTATTTTCTTCTCTGTGACAAGTTAGTTATGCATTGTGCAGTGACTGAGAATGATGAAAGCCAGCATGACCTCAGAGGAGAACCTCAGGACTGGATGAATCATCCAACATTCTGTTCTTTGATGCCATTTGCTTTTGGGATTTACATATCTACTGTCATTACCAGAAAATTTCCATACTTCAATTTCATCCTCAGTGACTAACAGAATTAACTCCATGAGTACTGTAACAAACAAGGATTATAGCAAGAAGCTCAGGGCTTTTTAAACTGCTATGTACTCTTTCCTTACAGCTTTCATGGTATCTGCTTCAGCTGTTCATTTTTCCCAGACAGCATTTTCAAAGTCAGCCCTGATTTCCCACCTACTCTGAGAATTTGCCACCAAGCCTTGTTGAAGGACACTGAAATCTGAAAACTTGTCAGTACACTATTTAACTGCATTATCCCTGATCAAGATGAAAGAATGAGCTGACAGAGAAATCATAGGATAGATTTATGACATGGATCTTTGTATACTTCTCTGTCATACTATGGCAAACCAGCAGCATCTATGCCAAACACCTTAAAAAAAGATGCAGCCATCTCAGCTACTTGGGATGAACTCATGAGCTCAAATTTCTGTGAGTGCTTCCTAATTGGCTTGTGTATCTTATGGGAACCAAGATTTGAGTCCATTATCCTTGCATATAGCACTAGGCAGGCTTTCTGATAGGACTGGTGAAGAACCTTTTTCACATGTAAGCTGGATAATTGCTTATGTAAAATAACTTGTGGTGGCACTGCTAGAATTTCTATACTCGGTCAGATACTTAGCCAAGTAAATGGAAGATCAATTTCAAAAAGTCAACTTGGAGATTATTTTCCTTCAGAGCTTTGCTGTCTGCTAGTGCTGTAGATTTTATGGCTAAAGCTCAGTCTTTCAGATTTCATAGTGATAGGCTGGTACTGTGCAAGGCTTCCTTGGTTTAATATAATATGTGCTTAACGGAATTGTCTATACCGTCTCCACCTGTTAGAGGAACATCCTTCATCCACAAATTGTTATGGAATGTTCCTAGCGAAGGACACTTACTCAGGTGCAGTTTTGTGTATTTAAGGATAAGAATACATAGATACCATCTACAGAAGTAATACTCCATGTTTACTTATTCAGTGAAAATCAAGACTGATATGCTGCAGGTCAGGTAAATTAATATTCTTCAAGCCTTAGCTTTTTCAGCCAAAATAAATGTCCTCACTTCTGAAAATATCCATTATAAGAAAGGAACAGAGACTACATTGAAAACTATAGACAGAGGTTAATTTCTTGAAGAGCTGCAAGCTGTAATTTATAAGTAGAATGTTCTTTCATGAGGCTGTTTTTTTTTGTTTTGTTTTTTTTAAATAAAGGTCCCGGCTGCTAATTTAGAGCTGCATTACACAGTGTGTCCACTGGATGGCACCAGAAAATTGACATTCAACTGTCACTTGGCAGTTTCTCTCAGTGCAGGAAAGCACATATTCTTCAAAGACCAGCCACACTGGGAGCCAAGCAGAACCTGAGGCAGATTTGGGTCAAAGTAGCACCTCCTGGCATCAGGCTGTAGGTGGGAAAGAGGATGAGGAAAGTCTGAGTGCCCATTTGCCAGGTGTGGTGATGTGTGTCTCCTGTCTGAGTAGACAGGTGCCTATGGGTATCACTGATATGATTGCAGGGTAACTGGGCAGATCCTGACTCTTCAGTGGTGACCACTGGAGGCAGGCACAAACCAACTGTATCTCTCAACCATCCTCTGGGGATATTCCCAATAGCCTTGCCTCTTTTCAATCCCGCTCTGAGGCTCACCATTGTGGCTGCCTACTGCTCTAGACAAAGAGGGATCCATATACTGCCCTCTTGAGCCAAACCAGTCGTGCTCCTGGCTTGATCAGAGGTGGACAATTGAGAGCAAGGAACGGCATTTGTCCCTCTGATGGATTGGGTGCACTGCCTTCCTTTTATGTGTTTCCTATCTCTGCTGGCCTGGGGAGTGGGGACCAATCTTAGCAGCTGGTCTTCAGCCCCTTGTCTGGAAGTTCATTGTGCTGGAACCAGACTGTGGGGTTGGGTCTTGCACGTGGAGCTGAATAATTTTTCAAGAATTCAGGCACCTGCCTGCTGCGTCTATTTCTCTTACTTTAATGGCATGATAGTTATTGTTGTTGCAAATTTTACAGATTTGGACATTTTACATCCTTGGCTTCTAATTGGTGCCACCTAGAATATAGCTCCTGGTAACGTGTATCTTTCTTAGTTTTCATTGGCTGAGGGTTCTTGTGCCCTCCGGGTAGCTGTGGCTGACAATGCTGCCCTTTGACCCCGTTTCCCTTATTTTCCTTACCAGGCCAGAGGTGGCCTGAGCTGGTCTCTCTCTCACAGGTTTGGATTTGGGTTATTTCTCATTGTGTTAGTAATTTGGTGCTGATTGTTTTCAGTTATTTTTATTGTGATCGTAACTAGGAGTCCCAGTCAATGACTAGTCAAGGCCCCATTGTGCTAGGTTCTGTACAGACACGGAACAAAAAATGGTTCCTACACCAAAGATTTTACAATCTAAGTAGGGAGTTACGTTATGATAATCTGATCAGGGTGCAGAGGTGCTGGAACTAAGGTGCTGGGGATGCTGCTGCACCCCCTGGCTTGAAGTGGTTTCCATTCTATACAGGGTTTACAGTTTGGTTCAGTGGTTCTCAGCAGCCCCACTATACAAATTGTTCCAGCACCACTGTCAGGATGTTAAATGCTCATGTTTTGTCATCAGTGCAAGGAACTTTATTTGTCTGGTCTTTAGTCTCAATATTCCTAACTACAAGTGAAGTCACTACCTTAGGGCTATGCTGAATGTCTCGCATACCATATGGTAGCATCTCTTTCCATGGGCCTTCTCAAATCAACAGAAATTTTATGTAAAATCTCTTAGTATGGCTCATCAGTATCAGTTGTTTTCAGTTATCAGATCCACCCACAAATCCCAAAGTACAATTTTGAGCAGCAGATGAAAACCCACTGTATATATGGCCTGATATTGAGGACTGCAGATTTTCAGGTAAAAATTGTAGATTCAGGAAAGGAGAATAAATAAGAATAAAGCTGGAGAAGAATGAAACCATCCAGTTTTGGAAGGTTGAACCAAAATCTGTTCAATCTCGGTCAGAAATCTTTCTTTGATATACTCTGAAGAAAAGCTGAGCTGATTGCACAGGAGGTATTTTTCCTTCTCTTTTTTGATTCTTCACAAGTTTTCAATAATCAAATTTGAACTTTTTTTTAAAAAGCCCTTTGTTTCCTGGCTGTCTAACTTATCGCATACCCAGGAAATTAATCTATCATGTGCCTAATATTCCTCTCAAATGCTCTATTGGCTTGAAAGAAGAACTGGAGCTGAGATGGGCTAGTTAGGCAGCTACCATTATGGCTCCACTAGTGTTTCTGCATTTCAGCAGCTAATATGGAGTGGGCACTACTCTGCTGCTTTTCTGTCTCTTCAGGCTGACAGGCCAAAAAGGCAGCTGCATAAGTTCTGTCATAGGTAAGATGATGCCGTGAGAGTGGAAGAGCTGGGTGGGCAGATTCTAGTAATCTGACATCATTGAAGCAAATGTTCTCCTCTGGTTGGGCTGATGCTGCAGGGGCCAAGAAACTCCAGTGGAAGACCACAGAACTAATATGCTTCTCTGGGCACCAGGCAAGGAGATCACTGCCAGGTGTGGGTCTGTAACTGCTCCTGTCTTTGAGATGATATCATAAGTGGTAACCCGCTGTGAACTGCTCTGTTGTGTTCAGTATGGCAATGTCCAGCATTACCTCTCAGGGTGCTGGAAGGGCTAATTACTTAATGGTCTGTACAGTGCTGTGATGCTGTAAAGCACCATGTGAGTCCTTAGTAGCATGAATGGAATGGATCCTGAGGTTCTTATTCTAGTTTTCTGTCCATCCTTAATCAGGCAAACTTCCTCTGAGAACACAGGGAGTTTGTGAGAGTGAAAATGGAATAAAGACCTGAAGAGTGGCTCCAGGGTTTGTATTTTTGGAGGGGGTGCCTGAAATGTAACTTATTTTGGTCAATTAAAATCCCTTTGTGCCATCACCATAGCAACCAGTGTCTCTTGTAATAACTCATGCACTGGTGTGACTCTTTGATTAGCCCCTTGCTGGTGTGTAGATACAAACTGTCCTTGGCTATTCATTTATTGCCCTCTGATAGGGTGTAATCCTGTTGAACATTCCCACAAGTGTCGTGGGAAATTCATGCTGTTAGGTCAGAATTAATACAGAAACAAATGACATTCCCAAATCTTTCACATGAACACCCTGTGGATCCAGACCCCTGACTGGGATGTGTCTGAGTAGCAAAGTAAATTGCAAACCAATGTATAATACAACACTGGAAAAGGATGTTAGCAAAGGCGTATGAGAAATGGAGAGGTCGAGACAGAGAATATAACATGCTTGGTGGTTTATGCTCCTGAATAGATGAGCATCAGAAATTTGGGTAGAAGTGCTTGCTTGGAATTTTGCCTTGCTGGAACGTCTGGGGAGTGTGCATTTGGAGAATCGCAATTGTGAGAGAAGTCAGGAAATGAAAGAAGAGTTTTACACATTTTACAAATCACTCTCCAGTGTCATGTGAAATCTTTACACACCAAGCATCAACTGAACCAGCAGAAGGCATTAACTTTCCATGTAGAAAGGGAAAAAAATCTGTAGTCTACCAGGAAAACAGTAGGCTTGGCAGTTCTGTAACTATATTTCTCAACTCTCCCACTCAGGTCAGCCATTAAATTCTCGCAGACTCAGTCTGAAGCAGGTTCAAAGTCTGCCCAACATGGATGCAATTCTCAGCGAGGCTCTTGTGAAAGTGAAAAAGCAGGCCCGGGGGTGTCTGTCTCCAGAGATGTGTGTCCAAGCAGTCAAGGCCTCTGTGCAGCTACCCTTCACAGAGGGTATTTGGAAGGAGAGAGAGCTGTTTAACCTCCTGTTGTCCTCAGGCCAGGCCAAAGCACTGCAGTATGTGTTCTTCGCACAGAGAGCAGCACAGAAGTGGACAACACCCTCTGGAGCTTCCTGGAAAACTACTTCAGCTCAGCCCATCCGAAAAGTAGCTGTGATAGGTAAGTTGGTGAGATCCAGTATGCTTGCCAGCATGGCAAATGCCAGTCTAAATGAACTGGAGAGGTGTGGCTTTTCCCAGGAGTGCTGGGAAAGGAAACAATGGAATAATGTTGGGTACCTTGTGGGACCACGGCAGCCCCAGGAAACTTGAATGACTTCCTACAACGGGGTTCTGGGAGCTGCTTTGGAGTCCTGAAGCTGCCCAGCTTCCCCCTTAATTTACTCCCCACTCCTTCCAAAGGCCTCATTGCAGTAAGACCTTACCTTTGATGGAAGACCTGAGGAAGAGTCCTCTGGAGGCATCAGTGCCTCTGCATTTACCCTCCAGGGGTACACGCTCTCATGGAGGCAGAGCTCCTCCAGCCTCCCAAGTTAAAACAGAACACACAAGATTGGTATAGTCTAAGAAAGAAACCTGTTAGTACTAACTGCTTGTAACAGTATAAACCTCTGCTAGTGAGGACTGAGATAAGGTTAAATGGCTTAATCCCGTAGTGTCAGATCATTTCTGTGTGCTCCTACCTCCAGCTACCCTGATATCACTTCAACTACAGCTTCACACTCAGTTCATATATAGATGATTTCATTTTAAAATAGTGTTGTCCTGAGAGCTTACTTAATTCCATATTATAAACAGAGATCTGTATGAAATTCTTTTTCTTCTAGACCAGTTTTGTCATCTGTGAGTGTGTGTGTAGAGAGAGAGTGTGTGTTTGTCAGTGATATATTAATACAAAAATGTTTTGTTGACAGCTGCATTTTAAGAAGCTTTCATCTCATCATGATCCACCCTGACCATTTTGCACCCCCCGGAAGATAATGCTTTCATTAAATTTTTATAAGTGCAATTTAAATAAAACCCTTTGATGCACTGCACAGATCTGAAAAAAAAAAAAACCCACCACCAACCTTTCTGCTCTGCATGTTGATTGCTACACTCTGTGTAAAATGGCTAGACAAGAATAGAGAACTGGGAAAGTGGCCATTTCAATTTTAGACATATCCAGTCAGGTTGCCACTGCTTTTCCCTGTCTGGTTATCATATACAGGATCTTCATTTCCTGCAGTGCACTCGGAGCCCTCTTCAAGCTCATCTCTGCTAGAAGAAGCCACAGATGGTGTTTCTTGAACTGTCCCTTTTCCTCATTTGTTTTGCTGAGTTAATTAATGTCATATATTAAATGGTCATTTACTACATGAATCTTTGGACTTTAAGTACTGCACTTAAATCTGGCAAACATTAATCTCTCAACAAGCTCATATTAAATTGTCATGAGGCCCTTCACTGGTGAGATGGCATTTTTGCAAGCAGCATGGAGCACTATTGGGTCAATCTTGTGATTCATTGCTGAGCAAAATGATTGAATTCATGTAAATATTATCTGTCCTATCATGTCAGGGCTCCATTTTGCATTTTTGTAAGAAGGAATAGGTGCCAGGAAGCAGAGCTTAGACTTGAGATTCTCTGCTGTTTGGGGGATAAATCCCACTTAGATAAGTGAGTCATTTGCAAACCTCACTCCTTAATGGAAATTCATCGGTTCATAGATTTTTAAGGCCACAAGGGGCCACTGTGATCTATGGAGTCTGACCCCCTGCATAGCACAGGCCATTGGACTTCTCTGAGTTAATTCCTGTGGTGACAGACTGATGGTATCCTGAAATATGCTGAACAAACTTTCAGGAATTAAGATAAACTTTACTGAGTTAAGGTAAACCTTATTGAATGAGGGTTAACGCCTTTAGGGTACATTGTATCAAAAATATAATAGTGTATGTGTTATTGTGGCATTGTATGTACCTTCTCCAGTAGGGAAGGAGATGCTAATGTACTTCCTCCATTAGCAACCATTTGAAGCTACCCTCTGTAGAGATATACATATACTAGTTCAAACTGGTTTCTCCAGGGACCAACTGACAAAGAAAGGGTTGGATACATAGTCTGGTTTTTAAGTGGCTCAGGGCCTTCTCCCTGATCCGGCAAATGAACAGGACTCCAGGAGCATGCAGGGCCCCAATCCTTAGGGTAGGGTTGGAAGGGCTGGATGCTTGTTCTGAGCTAAAGCTGTGATTAACTTGTAACCACAAGGAATCCCCCTTGGGTGGGATATTGAAGGACTGCTCTTGCCAGAGCCCGTCTTAGGAGTGAGGTTAACTCTGATAAGCTTTTTAGCATGCATATAGGTTCTTTTTATTGTTTTTAATATATTTTCTCAGTAAGGCTTGTTACCTTACAAACATAGCAGGCTTGCGTGGGAAGTGATACGTGATACCTAACAACTGTAGCAACTACACCTATTAACTGTCTCTGAAGAGAAACCAAGCAGCTTTGTTTGGGCAGACTGTGCTGGGGATAACACAGTGAAGGCAGGCAACTGTACAGCCTGGGAATACCCCAGTCAGAAGAGAGTGGGACACCTGTCTCCACCTAGGAAAGGCAACAGCTGAGGAGCTAGAAGCCTGAGATTGGGTACCTGTGCTGTACTCTTGAGGGGAAATATTGGTGCAGTTGCCCTGAACTGTGACTCCTTCTTCAAGTCTAAATGCTGTGGTTGACCTAGAGCACATCTACTAGAAAATCATCCAATTTCCATTTAAAAATTCCAGTGATGGAGAATCCGCTACAGCCCTTGGTAAATCGTTCAATGGCTAATTACCCTCACTTAAAAAATTGCACCTTAGTTCTAGTTAGAACTTGTTGAGCTTCAACTTCCTACCACTGGATCATGTTAGATCTTTGTCTGCTCAATTGAAGAGCTCATTATCAAATTTCTGTTCCTCATGTAGGTACACCTCTACCCCGATATAACGCTGTCCTCGGGAGCCAAAAAATCTTACCGCGTTATAGGTGAAACCGCGTAATATCGAACTTGCTTTGATCCGCTGAAGCATGCAGCCCCACCCCCCTGGAGCACTGCTTTACCGCGTTATATCCGAATTCGTGTTATATCGGGTCGCGTTATATCAGGGAAGAGGTGTACTTACAGACTGTGATCAGGTCACTGCTTAACTTTGTCTTTGTTAAATTGAACAGATTGAGCTCCTTGAGTCTGTCACAATAAGCCATGTTTTCTAATCCTTTAATCATTCTCATGACCCCTCTCTAATTTATCAACATCCTTCTTAAATTGTGGACACCAGAACTGGATGCACTATTCCAGCAGCAGTCACCACAGTGCCAAATTCAGAGGTAAAATAACCTCTGTACTCCTGCTCGAGATTCTGGTTTATGCATCCAAGGATCACATTAGGCCTTTTGGCCACAGTGTCATGCTGGGAGCTCATGCTCAGCTGATTATCCACCATGACCCCAAAATCCTTTTCGGAGTCACTGCTTCCCAAGACAGAGTCCTCCATCCTGAATGATGGCCTACATTCTTTGTTCTTAGACCAGAGGTTCTCAAACTTCATGGCATCGCGGCCCCTTTCTGACAACAAAAATTACTACACAACCCCAGGAGAGAGGACTGAAGCCTGAGCCCACCCAAGTCTCACTGCCCCGAGCTGGGGGCCAAAGCCTGAGTCCCACTGCCCCAGGTGGGGGGGGGGGGAGGGCAACGCTAAGGGCTTCAGCCCCAGGTGTGTGTGGTGGGGGGGCTTGTAACCTCCCTGCTGCCCAGGCCTGAAGGCCAGGCTTTGGCCCCGGGCTTGGGGTTTGGCCATAGGTGGTAGGGCTGGGGCTTCAGCTTCAGCCCCGGGCCCCAGCAAGTCTAATGGCAGCCCTGGCGACCCCATTAAAACGGAGTCATGATCCACTTTGGGGTCCCAATCCACAGTTTGAGAACCACTGTCCTAGATGTTTGTCCTCACATTTGGCTGTATTGAAATACATACTGTTTGCTTGCGCCCAGTTTACCAAGCAATCCCAATCAATCTGTATCATTGATTTGTCCTCTTCATTATTTATCACTCTCCAAATCTATGCTTCATCTTCAAACTTCAGTGATGATTTTATGTTTTCTTCCAGGTCATTGATAAAAATGGCCAAAACCAGATACCTGCAGGTCCTCACTAGAAACTCACCGGCTTGATGATCTTTCCCCATTTACAATTACACTTTGAGACCTGCCAGTTAGCCAGTCTAATCCATTGAAATGTACCATATTGATTTTGTATCATTCTAGTTTCTTAATCTAAATGTCTGAGGTACCAAATCAAATGCCTTACAGGAGTCTAAGTATATTACAACTGTGACAGAAATGGCAATGTCCTACAATATCTTTGGGAGCTCTTACTGAATTCAGTTTATGTATCTTTGTGGTAGAGGGATTGTATGTAATTCCATGAGGGACAGTAACCACAGCACCTCCAAGATCTAAGAACAAATGGGGGTCATTAGGCAAATTCACTCAGATTGCAACATCTCCAGAGAGGTACCACCACCTGGAGAGGCTCGCATATACTAGTTCAAACTGGATTCTCCAGAGACCAACAAAGAAAGGAATTTTGGATAAATAGCCTGAGTTTAAACTGATTCAGGGCCTTATTTCTGATCTAGCAAATGGACAGGATCTTCTGTTCAAAGGGGAGGGGACAATCCCTGTGGAAGGATTGGAAGAACTGACACCTACCAGAGCCTAAGGTTGGAGTTGGAGTGACCTCTGTTTTCACTGTAATGCTTTAGGAATAAATGTGTGTGCTTAGAAAGAGTTGTGTGGTAAGTTGTAACTGCTGGCAATTACAGCTTTTCATACCTTTCGGATAGAAAGCAAAGCACACACATTGGTCTGTTTAGGCACTCTGGCTTGCTGGGAATATTACAATGCAGGGAGGGAACTGTACAGCCTGGAAAATGCCTGGTCAGGGAGGTAGGGAGGCATAGGTCTCTGCTCAAGAGAGATCATGGCTGAGGAGTCAGGAGCCTAAAAGTGGATGCCCTCAAGGCATCACAAAGGTGGAATACAGGTGCAGTTGTTTTGAACTGTGACAACATCAACACTGTTACCTTTCTCAATGAACTTGTTATCGCATCAAATAATGATATCAAGGTGGTCTGACA